GGCGGAGTCGTCCCCGGGGAACGGGAGAGGCGCTCTCGGGCCCTTCCCGCGGCTCCCCGAGGCGCAGAGCGGGCGCCGGGTGCTCGCAGGTCCCGTTCCCCCGAGCCGCCGGTGCTTGAGAAGCCCCAGGATGTCTGAAAGGGGCTGGAGAGAGGCGCCGGGCGGGAAATCGCCTCAGGTGTGGGAAGAACGCGCTGCCTCCGGCCCCCGGCGGTCCCGCCGCCGGCCCGGAGCTTTTACAAAGACCTTGCGGCAGCCGCGCCGTCAGGGGAGGGCTCTGGGGCCTGGGTTTAGGGGGGGAACCCGTGCTCTGGAGACCACCCCGTCAAGAGGTGGCGCATCCCAAAAGGCAGCCTTACCGGGGCTGCTAACACATAGGGAAAAAAGTGTTAATTATGCTGAATGGTGGCTTTTTTGTGTGGTGGTTTTTTTTTGACAGGGTGAAGTTGGAAGAGATAGTCACAGATGATTATGAAGAGATAGATGATGGCTTCTCTTATACACCAAAAGAAGACAAAAAAAGACATAGACAAAAGCAGGAAGAGGAAGAATTCGCTAGAAATGAAGAGGACAGGCATAAAAGGGAAAAGAAAAAGAATAAACATAATCCTGAGTATCCCTCTTGTAGGGAAGAGACCTTTGTAGGTATTTTGGACTCTCAGAAAAGGTACAAGAAAAGAAAAAGAAAGGAAGAAGTTAGTGGAAGAAATAGACTCACAGAAGGTAAGGAAGAGAGCTCTACTGACCAATCTAAAAAGCTTAAAAAAATGGAGAGGGAGAAGCAGTTGGCAACAAAAAAGAAGGATGAAAAGCAGACAAAGGCCACTGCAACAAAAATGGCTTTAGAACAGGCAAATGACAGCTTTTCTCTAAATTCTGGTAAAAATAACATCAAAAGAATCACAATACAGTCCAGAAAAAAGAGGGTGGGAACTTCAGATTCTTCTAGCACGTCGTCTGACAGTGACAGCAGTGAATTGAACAAAAAGCAAAGTAAATCTTCCCATAAACCTGTAGTGGCAACACTTCCCAAAGACAAATCCCAAGCTGCTGCAAATTCCGCTGTGAAAAGTGTTATTTCTAATAAAGTGGCTGTAAAGTCTAACACTGAAAATTCCACTAAGACTGCAATTAGTAAAAATGCTAAAAAATCCCAGTCCTCTAGTTCAGATTCTGACTCGAGTACAGAGGATGAGGAAGTGGCAACAGCACAAGACAGTACTGCAAAGGAAAAGTCACTGCCTAACAATGCGGCAGCTGGAAAAACCAGTACCACCAAGGCTCCCAAAGCAAAGACCTCTTCAGAGTCTGATAGTTCAGATTCAGAAACAGTTATTAAAAAACCTGCAGCAAGTGGACTGAGTAATTCCATAGTAAGAAACTGTACTAAACAGTTGCCAACCGGTGTTGAAGGACCACTTGCCAGCCTGGGTCGTGGAAGGGGGCGTGGAACAGGAGAGGATAACTTCTGGAGAGGACCTAGGGGCCGTGGGTTTCGTGGGATGATGAGGGGCCAAGGCCGTGGGAGAGGAGCAAACCCTGGCTTCTTCTATAACTACAGCAGTGAAGGCCAGAAACAGAGGCAGTTAAATGAAGCTGCGACAAACACTTCTGTTCTTGTCCAGGTGAGTGACTTAATGCAGTCATAGGTCACCTTTCTCTTGCAGCTTTACTATACAAAAAATGTATAGGATGGGAGTAATTCGTAAAAGTAGAAATAGATTAGTAAGCATAAAGGTTAATCTTAACTTAGCAAATCTGATATTTACTGTATCTCCACTTAGCAGCCTGAGGAAGTGTTTATGAAACAGTATTTAAGTGATTGTATTACACATTTCAAAACAAAGCACTTGGATATGTACGTTACTCTTCTCAGAACTTCTTACAATCCAACAGCATAAACATTGTCTTCTGTTTTTATTAATACAGTAATTAAATCCATGGGTTTACTGTTTATTTCACAGAATCCCGTGGAGGTCCCCAAGAGAGACTATAGTGTGTTACCTCTTCTAGCTGCTCCACCACAAGTGGGAGAAAGAATTGCCTTTAAGGTAAAGAACTTGTGAAATACTGAATGTCAGCGGGCTAAAATTGTTTCATTTGGCCACTTAAGTTTTGGAGGACGTGCTACAGATAACATAGTTCTGACAACGAAAAGCTTACACTGAAGAACTTAATCTTACATTGTTCTGGGACCGTTATCCTAGAAGTATAATAGTTAGGAAGTAGTCTTCATCCTACTTACTTGTTCTTTTTTAAAAATTTTGTTTTAAACTTAAGCAAATGGTTCAGCACACATCTTGTGTCTAATGTTTGTAGGCATCTGAAAGCGTTCACTCCTCTCTTGCTGTCTTTCTAACGTAAGTTTTCCATACAACAGAAACTGTTACAGTTGTATAACAAAGAAATGTTGTCTGCACTGTCATTTCAGTGTGAATTTCCGTGTACGTTTGTGCAGCGATTCTCTTAACTAGCACACAAGTCAGTTCACAAATCACAAATAATAGAATTTTCTGGTTGCACCCTTTACAAAGTCTGTCTACTGTGGGCATATTTTCAAGGTTTATGTTTAAATAAGAATGCCAGAAAGAAGCATGTCACCCCTCTCTTTCCCATATGCAAGGAAACTCAGTATTAAAATTAGAGGCTATAAAAAGAAAAAAAGAAAAAAACCCTCTATGTGTTACTTCTCTCTGTATTGTTTCTACAATATCATTGTGAATCTTACCATACAAAGAACTACACTGCAAAATAAAAAAGTAAACGAAAAGGAAATCACTGCAATTGCGGAGACTGGGATCCATCTCCCTGCTCTCCTCTCACAGCCTGACCTGAACATTAGTGCTTTGGAGCAGTGAGTACTGAAAGAATGCCTGGGACTGTGATCGGCATCAGGATCCAGGAGTGGGAGGCTTGGTTCTTGCACCTTCCTCTTGCTGAAGAAACTGTGTCTGGGTCTAGGTGGCATCATCAAGGATCAGGAAAAGTTGTAATTTGTTATTTGTATTTCTTTCAACAGCGCTTGGAACTAACTGAAAATTACAGTCCTGAAGTTTCAGACTATAAGGTACTGTTTTTCTTTCCTCCCTTAATTCACTCACCACGCTATTATAGGTGAGGTAAGGCTTATATATTTTGAGGTTGTGCAGTGTTTTACTTCTCATCCAGTTGACTCTGCAGGCTATTCCTGGTGTAGCAGTGAAAATGAAAACTGTAAAACCCAAAACTAATTAAAAATTTGAAAGGCGTAGCAGTTATTAAAAAAACCCCACGAGGATTATTAATGATCATTAGTATTTTAGAGATGACAAAAAATGCACACCTTCAAGTAGTAAAATGTAGCTGTATTTGAGTCTATTGCTGTTTGAAGTCAAGGAAAATTCACAGAATCACAGAAACACTAGGTT